AGGCTGTTTGCTTGGAGGGGAGAACACAAAATTGAAGACCGGTGATCTCACCAAAAAGTGGGTGGACTGTTGTGAAATCAAATCCCGTCATTCATCACCTGGGTGAAGTTTGGGGCAGGATAGAGGGGTCAGGCAGCAGAAAGAGCTCCTCATTTCTTATGTTGCCAGAGAGGCTTGAACAATCCTCGACACTTAGTAAATTTGTTGGATGACTAAAGGGATGAGTTAACCTGTTCTTGAAGAATGGATCAGTTAATATGAGGTTCAGCTGCATATCCCCTAAAACTCATGACGGTGGTTTTAAAAGAGGGGTTGTATGTTTGTTTTCATGTAAAAGAAGTCCTGTGCTGCTATGGAAGTTTCAGCCATTAAAGATCCAGAACTTTCCCATGTTTCTACTCTGCCATCCTGTGCATGGCTTCTTCCTTTAGGTGCCCTCATGGTCTGCAGGCTGCACAGAGCTCCCGGTCCAGCCATCATGCCTGAGGTCCAGGCATCGAGAAAGAGGAAGAGGCCAAGGCAGAAGAGAACCTCACAGAGAATAATGGGAGATATTAAAGAGTTTCCCAGAATCTCCACCTTACAACTTCTGACTGTGTTTCCTTGGCCACCCCTTTCTGCCAACAGTCTGGGAAACGTAGTTCCTTTGGCCCGGCTCATTGCCACTTCCAATGGCAGAGGGCTTTTGTAGGAAGGAAGAAGTGGGGAATAGATACTGGCCAGGCAGCTTGTGATCTTTGCCATACAGAGTCTTTGGTAGGTAAAAGGAAAACTAATGAAAAGTTAGGGAACAAAGCCAGACAGCTTAGGTGGAGGGCCCGGTTAGACAGGTCCAACTCTGAGGGAGGCCCAGGGCAGAGCACATGGGCGGAGGCAGCAGACTAGTTCTGCAGTTCTGGCTATGCGACCATGGAGACAATCTGCCATCTCTCTCCAGTGCCTTAGTTTTCTGGTCCATAAAATGGAGTCATACTAAAGCTGACACCACGAGGTGTTGGGAGGTCTGAAAGAAATAGATGTACAAGAGCTTTTAAACTGGAAGGAGCTGTATGAATACAGTTTCCGTCAGCGTTCAGAGAAAGGAGATGGCATTCAGAGAGTGGTGATTTTAGCCCAGGCTGATTTCTCTTGTGACTGATTTCACTGCATTCACCATTATCTGCAGCACACATTTCATTATCTAGTCTTACATCATTCCTCAACTGTTTCATGTAGGAAAAGTTCTCAACAAGGTTGTAAGGGATCTCCTTGGGCATAGAGAGCGCTGAGGTACACCAGCCACAAAGAACACAACACCGCTAGTGCTGTCCCCATAAGAGGGGACGCGAGGGGGACAGCGTGGTTCAGGGTGTCTTCCCCATTCCCAGGCTGAAAAAGCACGTGGTTGGCTGATGCTCTTAACCAGGGTAGGAAAGGCAGCGGGGAGCAGGAGCAGTGACGGTTGGTGAATTCTCTTGAACATGTTGAGTTTGAAGGGGTGGTGGCACATCCAAGCAGAGGTGACCAATTGAGAGTTGACTTCTTTCACTTAGTAAACATTTATTGAGTGATTACTATGTACCAGGCATGCTCCAGGTGCTGGAGATACTGCAGTGAACAAAACAGACAGAACCCTTGTCTTGGGGAAGCTTAGACTCCAGCAGAGGAGACAAAATAAACAATAAATACAAGCTATTACTAAGTGACATAGTGTGTTTAAAGGTGGTAAATGCTATGGGAAGAAAAATAGAGCTTGGAAAGGAGCGTAGGACATGTGGGAGGTGGTTTAGGTGGTTTCCAGCGCTCCGAGACAGAGGTGGGCTGGAGATGTTTGCTGGAGATCGCTATCTCAATGGTGCTAGTCAGAGGGATGGGTGGAGATGCAAGCCCGGACAGAGAGATGTCAGGAGTGAGAAGAGTTCTCAAAGCAGCACCCGTATTTCAGGAATTTCCCAAAGTGGAGGAGCCTGGGACGAGCCAGAGGGGTAGGTGGAGACCCGGCGTACAGAGGCACAGTAGATCCCAGGGGCACCGAGATCTGAGGAAGGAGTGTTCAGTGCTGTCAAATATGACAAGGGAGGAACCGTGACTACTGTCTTCGGAGTACTTCCTCCGTGCAAGGCAGCCTTTTGTGCAGAATTTCACTGGGTTTTCATGCAGAATCTCGTGTGGTCAAGGGTCTGGGCTCTGGGGTCAGATGGCTTGAGTGCTGACTGGGGAGCTCTGTGACTCCGGTGTCTCAACCTTTTTGCACTGCAGTTTCCTTGCCCATAAAAAGGGATCCTTTAGCCCCTACCTCATAGGCTTGCTGTGAAGATTGTTAGATAATTGGATACATTAGAAAATGCATTTCAAATGCCATGACCATGAACGTTACCTAGAGGAGTGAGCCTTTAGTCCTTCCTGCGGGCCTGTGCGGCAGGCCCTGCCTTTACAGAGGAGGAGACCATTGGTGTCCTCGACAGGAGGGTTTTCGGGACACACCGTCCATGGACCTAGATTCGTATAGGATGAGCACGGAACGGGAGGCGAGGAGGAGGAGTGACCGGAGGCTCCTCTGTCAGTTTGAGAGGGAACTAGATGGGGTCCAGCCCTAGCACAGTGTCCAGACGGATCCTTGCTGCTCCATAACCTCTGCTCCTGCCGCTTCCAGAAGTGCAAAGACAGGACCTGTGTCACTGTCACACGAAGGGGGATCTGGTTGATGGCAGGGTGCCTGACTGGGAGGGAGAGAATGGGGAGGATGGATGTCCCATCGTCACCACCACACTCTCCTTCTTCCAGCACCTGGCAGTAGCACGCTATGGACCTGAGTCAGGGCAGGCTTGGGGGAGGTACTGCCGGCCCCAACCACTGCGTCTCTTCCCGAAGGAATGGAAAGAGAAGAGCTATGCTCTCAGGGCTGCCTCTCTCCCTCCATATTCTCTTGGCAGTCCCCACGCTAGGCCCTGGAGACACATGATGAAGGGGGCACCAGGCCTCCCACAACCTGCAGGATAGGGAGCACCTGCATTGCCCAGCGCTGGGACAGAGGCAGGTGCACAGGGCTGTGGAACCTAAAGTAACGAAACAGCCTCATGATTGGGAAGTTGGGTAAGGCGTCAGGGTGGAATTGGCATTTGACCTGGGCCATGCAGGATGAGTAGGAGTTTGCCTAGTAGGGAACGGGGTGAAGGTGGGTGTGTGAAGATCGTGGTTTGTGGCAGGGCGTAAGTTTGGTGTGGCTGCTGCAGGTCGTGTGGTGGTGGTGGGGGGGGGGGTTGCTGGGGCCAGGATCAGAAGACTGAGGGACTTTGTGGGAGAAAGTCTCCCCTCCCTCTTCCTCTCTCTCCTTCCCCAGCTCCTCTAGGCAACAAAGATCCTTACGATGCCTGGGAATCCAAGGTCTAGAACTTTATATCTGGCTTGTGTAATCACCCCTTAATTTTCCATGAGAAGAAACTGAGGCATGCGGGCCCGACATGACATGCTAACACATGGCAGAGCTGCTTCTGGAAAATCTTCCTATGGAATCTTCTAGAACAGCAGCAGTATCCTCCAAGTCCAGAGGGAAGAATCTTGGAGCGACTTCCTGTTACTCTCACAGAGCTCCAAACAGGCAGCGCTGGGCCTTCAGGTCTCCCCACCACATGTTCTGACCTCCACTTTTTTTCCTGGTCAGGGAGCTTATGAGGTTTTCAGAGATGGAAATGTGGGTGGAGTGGGTCGAGTGGTACAGAGCAAGTACAGATATACGGTGTTTTATGCCAGCGATATATTCTGGAAATTTGACTGTCAATGTGTGTTTTGCAAATTCAATAGAATCTTACAGAAATTAGAGGGAGTTGTCATTTAATGGAGTTCAAATCTGCCCCATTTTCGAAGTGAAGGGTCCTTTTGTGATGCAAATAATGTCTCCCTTCCACGAGCAGAGATTCTGTGTTGGCTTTCTTTAAATGAGACATACCTCCATGGGGCAAAATATGGGGCTCACGTGCGGCATTTTAAATGCAGGCTAGGGTCCACTCCTGCCTTTGTTGTAACCACTTGCTTTGGTGGTCTTTGTTTCTATCAGGTATTATTTTGGCCACTGGAGGGCCCTCCAGATAGAGGATGACTGGAGAATCCCAAATGTGTTCCCGGAGCCCAGACTTCAGCTCACACCCAGATTTTTGAGCATGCAGCATTTCTTGCAAATCGGATTTAACTGAGAAGAGTAGCTGTAGCATTGATGTTTCTTTTATTTAGGAATTTAAGCATAAAAGAAACCTCTATTTAAAAGAGCAGCTTTTGGATTATAGTCTATTTGGAGCAGGAAAGGAGGTGCTAATCTTGCCTGTGGAGAGTGATCCTGCAGAATTCAGCACAGCTTAGGAGAGCAGAGCTTCCCATAAAGGTTGCTCCTCTGTGTGAGGAGAATCACAGCGAGATGCATGGAGTGAAGTGGGGCAGCAGAATTCATTTTTATAATGAGGAAACGAGAGTTTAGCTAGGACTGGAAGAATAGTTTGGAAGGTTGGCATCTTACACCTAGTAAAGCACAAAATCACTGCAGTTTATTTTTACGCCATAACTTTTCTCTTGCAATTTTTCTACCCTATTGTTTGAGTCTAGTTCAGAGATTTCATTTTGCTGAATGCTGACAAAACATCCTAAATTCTGAGCTCAAAGATGTCTGTGCAGCATGAAAAATTCCATATCTGGCACCCAATGGATCAAAACACAGACCTGTGGCAAAACCAGGTAGAAATGAGAAAAAGTGTCACAGAAAAAGTCCAGAAAAGAAATACAGTCAGTGACCAGGTTTCCTCAGTTTATAAAACAAGGAAAATGCATCAAAACTCTCCACAGCCAATCCATATGAACCCAGACTAAAATAAAGTCTCATGTTCTAATCTTTTTTTTGAGGAAGATTAGCCCTGAGCCAACATCTGGTGCCAATCTTCCTCTTTTTTGCTGAGGAAGACTGGCATGGAGCTAACACCCATGCCTATCTTCCTCTATTTTATATGTGGGATGCCTGCCACAACATGGCTTGACAAGCAGTGCCATGTCGGCACCGGGGATCTGAACTGGCGAACCCCGGGCAGCTGAAGCGGAACGTGCGAACTTAACTGCTGCACCACCAGGCTGGCCCCTCATGTTCTGATCTTTCAAGGCCTGAAGCAAAAGCTGAAGTTGATGGTACTGATTTGCACGATGCCCCTGAACTAGAATTTTCCAGCACCAGCGCAGGGCAGCTGCAGGTGACAGAGGGACTTAGAGGCAGCTTTGAGGACGAGTTTGGGCCCGAACGATGTAAGAACTTGGGTCCTATGGAAACACGTGGCCCCTGGGGAGATAACAAGTGTATGACAAGACCTGGGAGCACTGAGCCGGTCCTCATATTATTTGTCTGGCTGTGAAATGGGACTGAATCTTTTCCTGACTCATCCCTTAGGTAGAAGATAGCAGAGGGCGGCTCTCTCTGTGTTTATTTGGGGGTGAAATGGAAGAACAGGGAGGATTGGGCCCCAGTAGAGAAACTGAGGTTCCCTTTGAACTTGGGAATTTATAGGTAAGGTGGGCAAAAAGGAGCAGACGTTGACTTCAGTCCGCATTAGCAGACTTTCCTCTTCTGGGAAGCTCAAAAGTGGGTGGCAGAGAGCTGAGAGTGTGCTCAGCGGATGAGTGGAAAGGGAGGAAAGAGATCCAAGCCTTTGACCAAAGTTCTTTCTCCTTTAGATTAACCCCTCACTGCCTGTGTATCGGTGGGAACAACCGTTCACGTGGTCTTATCTCAGAGTTTTGCTTCTGGTCCAGAGACGATGCCTGGGAGTGGAGTAGGAGCCACCCAATTGTGACAGTGGGTAATAGGGTGCAGTTTGGTCGGTCCCCCAGCAGTGATACCCTCTGGCAATGAGCTCCCCAGGAATTGTGGAGAAGAATTTTCCTTCAAGGCTGGGGGAATGCAGGTCAAGGCTGAAATCAGCTACTTAGGGGATTACACTATATGAGAGATCACCGGGAGAATCAGACTTCTCAGAATTGCCCCCAAACACTGAGAAAAGGTCCAACCAGGGTCTGGAATCCTCTCCCTGCCTCTGAACTCCCAGCTGTCATTGTCTTGAACACTCACTTGACATTAAACATACATTTTCCTCTGACATATTTGTATTGTTTTTTTAAACTCTATGACAAATAGTTGTGCTGAGTGAGTGCTGGGCACCTAGCAGGCAGGCGGTAAATATTTGCTGAACATTGAAAGAATGCGGCGGCTTGGCTGTCAGTATGGCTCCTATTCAGAACCCATCCCCAGCGCACCATTCATAGGAGGCTGGGTGGATTTCACGTTAAAGCCCTGCCTGACCAGAACGGTCTCTGTGAATACTGGAACATTCTCAGACATGCTGAGTAAAAGCCACCATAGCAGGAAAGAGGGGCGGCTGGGGGAAGCGCAGCTGGGAATTTTCCTAGAGACGCGGTGCAGTTCCTTTGTTCTGGTAGATTTCAGCCAGAAGAAACAGCAAATTTTACTGTCTGCAAACCACCAACGAGCTGCTCCCCTCCCCCTTTACCTCTTTCCTTCCCAACCTGGGAATTCATTTGCTGCTTCTCTCTCCTCCTCCTCTGCCTCAGAGCGGTCCCCAGGGACAAAGGTCTTTGTTGTGAACACTCCAAGACAATACGGAACTGCACAGTCCCCAGGGCAAAATCAGGGCTGCCCTCCAAGGGGAGTGATCGCAGGGGCAGAGACCCCCACCTGTTGATCTCCCCCTTCCCGGGGCGAGCGGCAACCTGCATTGTGCTTGGGACGCATGCGTTTCTACACCAGGCTCAGCAGATGGCGCCGGTGAGCAAAGCCATTCCCTTCCCTCTCCCGCCCCTCCCCACCGCCAGAGCCTCGCTAGTCTAAAGCGAAAACAGATGTTTTCATCATTTCTGGATCTGGCATGTGACTTGCAGTTCAGCAGTGTGCCGACATAACCCAGAGTTGTGCGTTGCCTTCATCCCCCGCAAAATAAAAATTCTTACTTAAACGAGCCTTCCTCCTAAGTGAGCCCCTGACACATGATCTGTTTAATCCAAGGGGCACATGTTTCATCGAGCTCCAACTGCAACTGCCTTTGTAGCCAGCCCTGGCTCTATAATTGGGAGGTTGCCTTTATTTTATTTTATTTTATTTTCAGAGAAAAGCCAGGGCAGCCAGACTAGCTATCTTTACACCAAGGGCTGAGAGAGGCGCTAGCTTTTTAAAATAGCCCTGGTCTGGCTGGCTGGGGAACGTGTCTGCGTGGGAGCCAGCGCGTCCTGAACAAAACAGGAAGGCCAGGAGGCGCGCCCTGTTCCCCGTGCCCACGGCAGGTGGCAGCATTGGCCCAGGTTGGCCTCTGCCGCTGGCCAGCCCCAAAGCAGGGCCCTTTTACTTTCGGTGGCCTCAAAATTATTAGTTCCAGATGAGTTCTTGCAATTGTAATATTTGGTTTAACCCAATCTGCCCGATTGCGTCAGCACACGTTCAAATACAGCCGTCTGAAGTCTAACCAGACATCAGAGGCGTGTTTCAGGGGGTGTCAACATTCCTTACCCTTTGAAAGAATTAAAAAAACAAAAAAAAACCCCGGAGGTTCATTTATCCCCCAAAACGAAAGAAGGGTGAGCCGGCCTGGGGCTGGGGTGCCTGAGAGGGAGCCACACGGGGGCAGGCGTAACAATAGAACTTTGTGGGCTGAAGCCTGCTAGAGTGGAACTGGATTTATTTGTTGAACTAGGAAGGGACCTCTGGCTCTTTGAAGGTTAGAGCAAATAAGCAAAACTGGTGGGCATTTGGTTTTCTAAGAGAAGAGTCCTTCAAGTCACGTAGCTGCTATTGTCAGACACAAAACACACGCTATCTGTCTGTGGCCGAGCCTCTGCTTGCACTTGGCCTGGCTGCTCAAGAAGGGGCCGGGAGGAGGGGCCACCCTATTTTAACCCACAGCTTTGCAGGGTACCCCGAGTCTTCACGCTAAGGATGCAGACTTGGTTTCCTAAGAACGCCAGCCCAAGGCCGCAGAGGTCCCAGTTAGAAGACAGAGGCCCTGCTGAAGGCTTCTGGCGGGTGGACGTGCTGGAGTCCTCAAGTGTCTTATAAACAGCCCTGCTGCAGTCAGTCACCGCCACACCCTGGTGCCTGACACCAGGGAACCGGGAACCCACTCTCGTGGTCTCAGGGTTTTACAGATGTGTCGGCCGAGGCTGGAAGACCCTCTCCGAGCCCTGGGGCAGAGTAGCAAACTCTGCAAAGGCAGCGCAGGAATCCTGCTCCAATCACCAGACAAGAAAGGGTGTCTGGCTTCCCTTAGCGGAGATGGAATAACCTGGTGTGAGGAGACAGCCTTCGTCACGCAGCCTCCCCCTCCCCCTGCCCGCACCCCACTTTTAAATCCGGGCTTAAATTCTTCAAGCACCTCTCTCAAGGTTGCAGAAAGATTCCCGCTAGTCAACTACAGGGAGCCTGGCCATCTCCCTGCAGGTCTCTGGCTCGACATGGTACTGATCAAAAGCCGGCCCCCGTCTGGCAGATGCTTCAAGTCCTGCGTGTCGGGAGCTAGCGGCTGGCGCCAGCGGCAGGCAGGCAGGCAGGCAGACGGTCCGCCATCTTGTTAGATGTGGCTGCGACCTCTCTTCCCTCCTCCCCGCTCCAGTGGCCAGCCTGCCTGGATTAGACATAGGAAGGGTGATGGGACCTCCACACAGCTGGCCAAACACCTCCAGAATGTTTAGGGATCCAAGCTGCCTGGTGTTTTCCTTTCAATTTGAAAAATATGTGTGTCCCCACAGGTGGCTGGGGAAATGCTGCATGTCAGTGGTAAGAGTGGCACCTTGATCCTGGGGGGATGCCAAGCTTGGGGAAATAAGTCAGGGAGACAAGCGAGCACAACACTTAGGACCACGGTCCCTGTACACTAAGAACTGTTAAGAAAGTCTGGTATTCCTTTCCACTGCCATACTGACTTTATTCCCTTCTGAGAGTCAGCTTTTGGAGATCCTAAAATCCAGAGGTACTCGACCTTGGCTACTTAAGAATCACCTGGACCCCACGCCAGAGCTGTTGAAATCAGAATGGAATTGGGGTGGGGAATAGGCATTGTAATTTAAACCACTGTCCGCAGCACCAGATAACTGTAACGTACATCCAGAAGTAACAAAATCACTGTGCTTCTATCCCAAATTTCCTGGTTTTACAGATGAGGTTCTTAAGAGTTAAGAGGTTCAGAGTAGGTTGTAGAAGTTCAAGTCCAAGCCCGGAATTTCTCTGTAAGACCTCTGGCTCCTCAGTGTTGACTGAGGCTTTTCCTCAATCTTCAAACCACTAACGGCTGAGCCAGCCACCTCTTCTACTCCAGTCACTTTTCCCTGTTCAATGAAACTCTCCAACAACCACAAACCTGTGTTGCCGTTGCCTATAAGAAATTTGGAAAGATCAAATGCTTCCTGAGAAATCTGCAGTTTTGCTGGTTTAAATAAATGCTTATACTCAGACTGTTAGAAATGAGAATCACGCCTCACCCGGATTCCCCTCATTTATCACCTATGATGCTGAAAGGGATTCTCAGCTGCAAATGGCCATCAGGGTGATAACTGCTCTGTGGAGATCTGTTTCTATGGGTGAGGCAAGTGGGTCCTGGTGAAGTTGAGTGACATGTTTAGGATACAGTAGATGGCAGAGGCAAAGTGAACTTAGGCGTCCTACCTCTCAGCCTGGTGGGATTGAGGCTTCACTCTCGCCATCCTTGCCGATGGTGCTCAAGTTGTCATTTGCTTCTCAGTCTTTCCCCACTGAAGGCAACAAGCACCTCCTGAAGTTACTCTATCCTGCATGGGCAAGGAATAGTTGCTGGCTCATCCCTGTGAGATAGGGTTTCTGAGAATATGTTTGCCTTGGATACTTTGAGATCTTTGATGCTTGAAGGTTGAGTAAATTACCGTAAGTCATTGGGAACAAGAGAGACAAAAAGCCCAGGTATTGTCATGGTGACCAGGTAAAGTTGAAAGGAAGCTGGATAGGAAGTTAGGGGCAAAGGTGCCCTCTGTGACCTTGAAGGAACCATTGAATCTTTCTGGGCCTGAGTTGTCCTCCTGGAAAGCCAGGGAGATGGACATGATCCCTGAGGTCTCTTCTAGCTCTGACATTCTATGAGGCAATGAGTCCTGGCTCTCAGGGACCTTCCCACGTTCAGGCAGATGTGAGGGACCAGATTCTCTTCTCCCCCTAAGTCAGTTACTCTTGAGCCATTTCTGCAGTGGTCTAAGGACTAGCTCATGACTTTTAAAGTGGAAGTCTAGAGATGAGCAGACACAGAAAGACAACCCAGCACCTGGTGATTTCACAAAGGACACTTGCTGTAAGTCCCTGTGGTAGAATTGTCTCATCTTGGAGGAACTGCCTGGAGATCTTGCATCACTGGTGCTCATTTGTCCATCCACCCATTTCCTCCATCATTAAACATTTATTAAATACCTACTATGTTTAAAAAAAAAAAGGATGAGTAAGAAATGCTCATACCCAGGAGCAACTCTTCCAGAATAAAAGAGACTAAAGGAGCACTGTAACTAAATTCAATGTCTGAACCTTGACTGGATCCTAGATCTAAGGGAAAAAAAGCTATAAAAGACATTTTTGAGATGATTAGGGAAATCTGAATATAGACTGCATAATGGAATTATTGATAGTTTTGAGATGTGATATTGGCATTGTGGTTTTATAGGAGAAAGTCCTTATCACTAGAGGGATGCTGAAATATTTAGGGATGAGTGTCATGATGTTTGCAACTTACTTTCAAATGATTCAGAAAAAAGAAAAAAAGCAAATGTGCCAGAATGTTAGCAATTGGTGAATCAAGGATGGAGTGTAGTGGGTATTCATTGACTAGGTATTCAACTTTTCTGTAGATGAAACACTTTCAAAATAAAAAAGTAAGACAAAAAAGAAGTGCCCCTGTCCTCAAAGAGCCTACCATTTACTGTTTACCAAGGGTAAACAGACTTGTGGATCACTGTGTTTAATCCAAGGCAGAATAGAATGGGTGGCCAGTGGAGGCACAAGTAGTAACAAAGGTACATAAGTAAGTAAGGCATAAATAGGTATAGAAAGATGTGTATAATTTCAATAGGAAAAGGGCAA